AGGGGTCACCTTGTCAGGGCAGAAGCTGACATGCGGCCTTCTTCGAAGGTGCTGAGGGTCGATGAGTCCCTGAACCGAGCACATAGAAGAGTCATAGAAGCAAGAGCATGCCACGTGTTGGTGAACTTGGAATACCGCCTACTCAAGGTGCTGCGTGCTCAGCTAGCTCATGCCGGTCCGTCCTGATGCGGTCGGCAAGTGAAGCTTTCGGTGTTAACTCTGAGAGGAAAAAGTTCTGGAAGGTCCAGCGAGACCCTGGTTTCACTTAGACTCGTACGCCTAGGTTGTACCCCTCAAGGTTCCCCTTAATATGCTCCTAATACGGCCCTTATACTCCATTGGAGTCTTGCTAGAAGGATCCCCAAACCCAAGGGTGCAACCTTGGGGATCCAAAATAGAATCCTTTTGACTGTGGGTTCTAGGGGCTCATAACACCCATAAACGGCTCCCACGTGCCAAAGTCCATTGGGCTACGAAAAGCCTTCAGGGACGTGTTTAAACACTCGTTTCTAACACTTACCCTCCTTTATAGGGTTCTTAAGCCCTAGCTACGCACCCCCCATGAACTCCCCCATCCTCCCCTAAAGAACCCCATAACTCCTTGAGGGCTTCTACCAGGTAAGGCGTTAAGGTTTTAGGGGTCTGCTCTAGAGAGCTTGTGTGGACATCTACTAGGCCCAAGAGTAAGGAAGAAGAAGGTGCGCTTTTTGGTTTAAATGGGCTGATAAGGGAACCTAAACTGCCAAGAAACAAGGAACAAGGGCTTACTCTGGGTCCTAGTAAACCTAAACCCTAAACCCTAAAGCCTAAACCCTAAACCCTAAACCTGAATGGCCTCCGTGACCTTCAGATTTAAAGGATCGGTGCAGGCGCATCCGAGACGCTGCCCGGAAGGCACCTGCTCCAATACATGGGCCTGGCCTGCGAGGCCAAAGGTGGAGAGGCTAGGGTTTAGGGTTTAGGGTTTAGGGTTTAGGGTTTAAGGTTTAGGGTTTAGGGTTTAGGGTTTAGGGTTTAGGGTTTAGGGTTTAATTAGGGTTTAGGGTTCAGGGTTCAGGGTTCAGGGCTTAGGGTTCAAAATTTAGGCCTTTTATAGAAATTCGTATTTGTAGTCCATTTGTTCCTAAACCCACTAAACCCTAAACCCTGAACCCTGAGCCCTAAGCCCTAAACTCAAGTTGTTCTTTGTTGACATGTGTTGGTATCATCCTCTAAACACCTAAACCCTAAACCGTAAATCCTAAACCGTAGGCCCTAAACCCTAAACCCTGAACCCTAAACCCCTTGAGAAGAGGCTCGAGACCAGGCCGGTGGTGGGAAAACGTAGCTCCCTCCAGGGTCTAAGCAAAGAAGGTCAAGCAGGGCTTAGGGTTTAGGGTTTAGGGTTTAGGGTTTAGGGTTTAGGGTTTAGGGTTTAGGGGTTTAGGGTTTAGGGTTTAGGGGTTTAGGGGGTTAGGGGTTTAGGGTTTAGGGTGCAACTTTGAAGGCTTAGGTCTTACACAGGTCAAGCAGGGTTTAAGGCTTCTGTAGGGACGTAGGGAACTTTATCCAAAGGGCCCCCGCATAGCTCAACAGTGGGCATCCTAAAGATCATCTTCGGACTCCCCAGTTTTCTCCACTTGGAGTCCCAGGGTTTAGGGTTTAGGGTTTAGGGTTTAGGGTTGCTGCCGACGGAGAGTAGGAGAGTAGGGCGCATTTCCACTCAAGCGCTATAGGGCTTAAGGTAAGCTCAGTATACTCGGCTTCCCCCGCCCAACATGTTTCAACTCCCCCCCCCAAGATAGCCCATAAGCTACAACTGCATGAACACGCGCTACACCCCCTATAAACATTTGGGGTTAAGGAGCACGATACCTCGAACAATGAGCTTCAGGGAAGCAACGCCGGGAGCGTTGCGCTCGGGGCACTTTGCCTGGCCTTGGGGGTGTCGCGGCATCAACTGGCCGAGAAGGAATGACATGGCGCCAAGGGCGCTGGCACCATTTAGGTTGCAATGGCTGGCTGCGTTTCATGGCTGAGAAACGCATGCAGGGAAGCGGCTGTACACTGGCTCTTCCCTTCAGATGCACACCCGAGCTGGAGCGTGAGGCTGCTTTGAGGTTCCAGTGCTCTGGCTGGAGGTCCTTCAGCCTAGACTTGCTACGTTTGAGCGGATAGTTCGACTAGCCGTCATGTGCCAAAGAGAACTCCAGCTGAGATGAGATCCTGGGATTTCGCAACTGCAAGACTTCAGCATCTGTTGCAACCTCCTGGTGTTTAAGAGTCACGCAGATTGGAGAAATCCACATTGAAGGACTGCCCTGCTGCTCAGTGCTGGCAACGGCACTCGACTCTGACTCATTGATGCCTCTGGCGTTGCAATTGAGCTACATAGCAGTTCTAACAACGAGGTTGTCACCAGATAGAACTCGAGTTTCACTGCCTGTCACCCACTCATACTCACCCATGAACCTCCCAGTATGGGTTTTTGGTCACCCCAACCCCCAAAATATGGACCCGATCACTAAACCTGACCATTGAGAGGTCCTTGTCTTAGGGGTGGGGAACAACACTTTCTGTTTCTGCAACTGCATGCGGGACCGCCACAGCTACCAAGTGTTCGTTGCAAGTCTGTTGTTCGAAGAAGTGCAGAAGGTTGTTGGGGTGGCGGTGATGGTGGAGGGTGGGGCGGGGTTTCGGGTTTTAGTTTAGGGTTACATTTTCACCAAGTGAAGGAAGGAGGTATTTATGGTTTGGAAAACTCGCACAAAGATGCCCAAATCTTGAAACGTGCAATAATTGCGTGTTTAAGGTTTAGGGCTTAGGGTTTAGCGTTTAGGGTTACTCGTTTATAGAGTACCAGACGAAAACTGCCATCGTTCTGAACACCCTCAACCCCCCCCCCCCCTCCCCCCCGGCCCCCACACCTTCCCGTAGCTTTGCTCAGTTTCCGGCCTCATCCGTGATCCACGGGCTCATGCGTGGGCGTCACATCAGAGGACAAAACTGGCAGACCGACCTTACAAGGAGGGCACATGAAGCTCAAATCTCAGAAATATTCAACATACCCCTTGGGCATACCCCTTAAAAAACTCAAGAGGTATGGCAATCTCCGTCCTTATGTTCTCCTTTTATAGGTTAAGGGGTGTGGGTTTGGGGGATGTTGAATGGTTCCTAGATCAAAAGCATCCAGCCACGCTTGCCGTGGGAGACCCACCGTTGACCTTCAGAGGTAAAGGTGCGATAGCTATCTCGGCCAAAACGCCAAGCCCACGCATTTTGCTTTGGAACCCTACCTCAAAGTTTAGCTCTCCAGAAATGTTTCACTACACGCAGGCTCTTCTTTGGGGAAAAAGGGTTTTGCCTTGTGGTTTCAAGCGGGTTCATGATGCAACGAAAAAAAAGTGTACCTACTCGGCTCCTATGCTGGAGCTTGGTGCCCCAAAGACTTATGGTGTGTGGAATCTAAGTATATAATTCCAGAAAAGTACGAAAATGGACCCCGGGTAAGAGAGTGTGGACAAATAAGGCCAATGAAAGGTTTCCATTGTCTTAGCGAGTTGGGAATGAAAGCCCGTTTTAGCTGGGCTTTAATTGCAAAGAGAACCTAACCTCTAAAACCGAAATGAGGGTCCTTGCAGGGGCACCCCAGAAATCGACATGTTTTGGTCGCGGAGGTTAAGGTCAAACGCAGCAAACAAAAGCATAAGATCAGACCCGTAAACCCTCAACCCAAAAACCTAAACTCTACAGGAATACTAGTATACTCTGCTTCCTTGTTGGGGTTATCATTTGTATTCCTTATTGGGAATTTAATAGGACAAAAATGTAAAATTATCACCAGCAAGGACCCAGTACTGGGGCACAACGACTCGGGAGCATTAATCTTAGGGCAAGTTTGCTTGCAGTCATGCAGGATTAGGGTTTAGGGTTTAGGGCTTACTTAGGGCATGGGGAGTGTTGACATGACGAACGGAATACGGCTGAGGGGCACGTAGATGAAACACAAGCTTCAGGGTTTAGGACCCAGGTTACTGTGTTTGTGTGCAGAGATACTATAAGGGCAGGAGTTTACGGATTGAACACGATTCAGGCTGGGGTTTTAGGGTTTAGGGCCTAAAGTTTAGGGTCTTCCTTCTGGTCGCCGAAGCGCTTGCCTCCATGAGGCTCGCTTCTCAGAAGTGCTCCTGAATAAGTTGAGGGTTTAGGGTTTAGGGTTCAGGGTTTAGGCAAGAGTCCCCCAAAAAAAAACGAAGCTGCTTTGAAAGTCAGGTAGCGCTGAGGGAACCAGGCAGCCAAGATTAGAGTAACAGCTCGAAACCCTAGAAAAACCAATTCGATGAACCCTACCAGGCTTCAGAGATTCGGGCTTAGACCCAAGATCTGACGGGTTGCAGAATTTAGGGTTTAGGGTTTGGGGTATAGGGTTTAGGGTTTAGGGTTTAGGGTTAGGGTTTAGGGTTTAGGGAGGAGCCTTCAGCACCTCGAAAGCCAAACGATCGAGTAACTATAAACAACTGTTTCTGGGGAGGTCTACGGCCTACAGGGTTTAAGGGTCGTCTTGGGTGCTACACGGTGCTATCGCAGGATCCGAGGAGCGAACGCCTTTTCACGGTGTTGAGTTTGCCGTCATGTCCGTCTTTCCGGTGCGCGATGTTCGTCAATTTTTCAAGTCCGTAGAAGAAGCGCTTGCAGGATCCCTAAAAATACACCCCAAGAGTCCAGTTGATATCAGAATTATGTACATGGGCTTTAGCGAATTTCCTTGAGGCCCAAGTCGGGCAGCTGGACGATTAGGATACCTTACTTCAAGGTCTTTTCGGATCACTGCGGCTTCTGGGAGTCTAAATACCTCTCGAGGGACCTTGAGACTTTAAGACCTAAGCCCTAAGCCCCAAGCCCTAAGCCCTAAGCCCTAAGCCCCTAAGCCCTAAACCGGAACATTCCTAAAGCGCTAAACCCTCAGGCCCTGGACCACCCTGAAAGAAGGATCGGCTATAGGAAAGAAGGCACACAGGCTGTCACAGGCTCAAGGGCTTTAGGGTTGTCTCCTTGAAGAAGGAGAAACGCGTGGCACCTTCCGGGAGCTTGCCAGGTTACCAAGGGTTTGGGGTTCAGGGTTTAGGGTTTAGGGTTTAGGGTTTAGGGTTTAGGGTTTAGGGCCAAAGTTGAGGCCGTGACGATTCAGGCAGGGTTTAGGGGAGGGCTGACGGACAGCTACCCCTACAGTAGTACTTGCTTAGGCTTTAGGGCCCATAGGGTCTATAGGGACAACTTGATTAGAGCGGGTACTTTGGGTCGTTTATCGATGAACTACAGAGGGGCGATTGCTAGTTGCTTGCCCCTTCCCCCTGAAGCACCGGAGAATCCGTAGAATACCCAAGCGACTACCTCCTCAGCGCCTCGAACCCTGAATCTTGATGCTCCCGGGCCTGGCGTCCCGATCACGTCCGAATTCTTCACGCTCTGCCGCCCGAGCTCTTCGCCGATAATGGGCGAGCCGCACCTTGCTGGATGGATGTGTCAAACGAACACAGCCCAATACCTCAAAATTGAGATAGGTGCCCTTGTTCATACTGGAAACCCATAAAACAAACTAGGCCAGAACATAAGGATCCATGTGCCTACGCAGTATAAACCTGAGCTAGATAGGAAATACGCTGAAGCCACCCTTTGAGGCCTAAGCACTGTATGGACCCTAAACCCTAAACCCTGAACCCTGAACCCTAAACCCTGAACCCTGAACCCTTAGGGATGTGCCTTGATTGAGGGGGTGATGTGCCGGTCTTAGGGGTTGTTGCCACAGGCCAAGCTCAAGAGGCCTGAGGGTTGGCAATATAAAGGGCTTAAATTAGGCTTTAGGGTTTAAGGCTCTTAGGGTTTAGGGTTTAGGGTTAAAGGGCTGAATTGGGGTGGAGGGCTTCGGGAGCCCTGAAAACCAAACGGTTCTGAGCACATCATGGAACTCAAGGTCTTTTGCGGGGTCTAGCAAGGTCGGGTTTGCAGCCCGACGAGCCGATGGCTTGCAAAGGGGTTTAGGGATTTAGGGGTTTAGGGGTTTAGGGGTTGCAAACTGGGGGTTTTGTAGAGGCTTCTAAAGAGGGCTTCTAAGCTTAGATAGGAGGGTGTCTTTAGGGTTGATAGGGGCTTCGAGACGGTGTTAAGGGGTTCCCAGTGGGTCGTGGATATGAGCAAAGGTGGGCAAGGGGGTTAAATCCTGGAAAGGAATAGCTCCTGTCAGTTCCTGATAAAAAGTCAGGGAACTGAGCACCCTAAATAAAATTGTTGAAGGTTACACAGGGGATACAAGTTGCTGAGTTTGGTTCCCAAAATTCCCTACGAAGCGCGAGTAGGATTCTCTTTGCCTTGGGCTTCGGGGCGACTTTAAAGCGAAGGTTGATGGCATGTGGGCACATCTAACCTGAACCCTGAACACGTCTTCCACAAAGCGACCTTAAGGAGCAGCAGGGACCTGATGGTAGAGCTTCGGGCTTAGGGCTAGGGCTGAGGGTTATATAGTTGCATCGCCTACAATTTGGCCAATTTGGCTCTTGATGCCCCGTTGCATCAGGCCTGCATTCCACGTGTTAAAGTGCGAACGGTTTGTTTCTGCGCTTTTCTGGCATGTGCTGACAAATTCCCCTCTTGGATTCCCTGCTTCTTGTCGACATTAAGAGGGGACAATTGGCCTCTTAGCCTCCTTCAAAACCTTTTATACAAGAGGACCACCATGCAAAGATCCCTAAAAACCATCTGAATCTTGTGAATCATGATAACTTTAAATGCTGGCCCTGAAGCTCACTCCCCACAGCCCAAAAAGTGCTAAACCAGGATACTAAACCCTGAATCCTAAACCCTAAACCTTGAGATGCCAGCACATCTGAATGCCTCAGGCCGAGGCAGGAAGACTCCGATGTGTTCCCCCTGATGCTTCTCGCGGTTCCTTGTGCCGGGCTTGTCGGATGTTTCGGGGGGCCTTTTGGGTTTAGGGTTTAGGGTTTAGGGTTTAGGGTTTAGGGTTTAGGGTGCGTTGGGCGTAGGGCTTACATAGGCAGGCGGTGTCGCTCGGTCGGCTTGCGGGTTTCTGTGCAGCGGCTTGGTGGGGGTTGACCAAAATGCATCCATCAGCCGAACACTCCAACCTCATACCCTAGAACCCTAGATCCGCCTAAGAGCCACCACGCAGTCCCACTGGAATCAAACTAAGCTGGCCCTTGACCCCCTATGAACATGTGTATACATAAATAAATATATAAATATGTATATACATATATACATATATAATCATACATACATAGACAAACACTTTTTGCATTTAAAAATGCTCCTCTGGACACACGCACGCACGCGCAAAAACATGTCCGGAGGGCCTACCTAAAGGTCGTGGCAGAATTCTGCTCATTTCTAGCTTCTACGGTGCACCAGTCCTTCAATGCCATGCAACAGAAGCAGCACCTCGAACCCTACGCCCACTCCCAAGCTGCCAGAAACACCCCCACGCCCCCTAAACCCTAAACCCTTAACCCTAAACCCTTAACCCTAAACCCTAACGCCCTAAGAAGCAAAGAACACGTGCCGCCAGGTTTCTGCTTGAAGATCCGACCCCAATTGGGTCGGCCGAAGAACTGTCCAGAAGCGCAGGGAAGCTTCTTCACCTCCACTGGGTCTAGGGTTTAGGGTTTAGGGTTTAGGGCTTAGGGTGAGGGGACCTGTTACCTGCACTCCGGATGGCACAGTGGGCTCTGGCAGACCTTTTTGTCCCGCAGCACAGCCGCCGCACGTCCTTGGGTTTGAAACGCGAAGCCCAAGCCCTATGCCGAAACCACAAAACCCCTAAAGACGCTAAGGAACCCATAAACACCCCTGACTTTAAACCCTACACGTAAACCCTGAAGCCTAAACCCTAAACATACCCTTAAAACCCCTAAGCCGCAGGTGAGCCAAAGCTTCACCCCAAAGCTCAACAGCGCTGCTGTTCGTTGGAGTGCTTCCTGCGCCCGACTTGGCGGAACGCTAGGGTTCAGGGTTTAGGGTTTAGGGTTTAGGGTTTAGGGTTTAGGGTTCAGGGTTCAGGGTTCAGGGTTTGGGGTTTTGGGGCCCTAGATGTGAGGGCAAGGGTTCAAGGTCTAGGCTTTTGGGGGTTTTAGGCAGGATTGCAGGGATGCTCAACATCCAAACCTTTCACCTTTAGGGTTTAGGTTTTCAGGCCTCAACTCTCCAGACCTCTCCTCGCGCCCTCCACACCAAACCCACCTAAAGGGGACACACTAGCTGTCGCCTGAGAGCGGATGTAGGTTCTCTTTAAGGATTCAGGGTTTCGGGTTTAGGGCTTTCAAGTTCAGGGTTAGGGTTTAGGGTTTAGGGTTTAGGGTTTAGGGTTTAGGGTTTAGGGTTTAGGGTTTAGGGTTTAGGGTTTAGGGTTTAGGGTTTAGGGTTTAGGGTTTAGGGTTTAGGGTTTAGGGTTTAGGGTTTAGGCCTTCGGCTTCCCCACAGCATATCGGGCGAGGGACTGGACCCGGCAGCGGCATGATGCAGCCCTTGCTTCCACAAAGCCGTGGAAATTCCACGCCCACTCAGAAGCTCCTAAGTCCTTCCAGGCTCTTAGGGGTTTAGGGTTTAGGGTTTAGGGTTTAGGGTTTAGGGTTTAGGATTTAGGGTTTAGGGTTTAGGGTTTAGGGTTTAGGGTTTAGGGTTGAGGGTTGAGGGTTTAGGGTTTAGTTCATAAAGCCTGTTGACCAAAGGTTCCTACTCAAGATCCCTTTACATCAAGAACATGCCGAGCATTCAACCCTAAGCACACGCACGCACAACAAAACGAAAGCATAACAAATCCAGAAAGGCCTACCTCGAGGCCTTTTCGCCGAAGCCCGGGCGAGTCAGGGAGTCGATCGGGCCTTACACCACGACTGGGCTGCTCCATTTAGATCTCTTTGGAAACTTAAAACTAAATTCCCGGAACTCCAAATGAGATGGGTATATTTCTCAGGGCCCATGCACCTGAATAAGGTATACACGGGCTTTTGAAGTAACCTGGTGAATTTGAACTGTGGGCCCGAGCATCTACGATTTAGGTGCATGGGCCTTTCGGGTATAGTAGATACTTCTTCTCCTCTTCTGGCAACTTAACCCAATCTACTATTTGCTTAAGGACCACCCAAGAAATCAAAAACACATCTTCCTGGCAAGGGAGATATAGGGATTGTGATATTCTTTTTTGGGAGGGTTTTTGAAAGCACAGGCCAGCAAGGCATTATGATATGATTTTTTTGGAGGGTTCTTAAAGCAAAGACCAGTAAGTTCCTTAGCATCAACCCAGGCGAAGGGCACGGTCTCCATCCGGCACAAGTGATGATGCGGCGGCAAGGCATGGCTCGGCCTCGGAGGTTTAGGGTTTAGGGTTTAGGGTTTAGGGTTCAGAAGCCGGAGCGAACATTCAGAAACGTCTGGCAGACGCCAGTGCTGTAATATAGGGGCCAACAGAACTAAAAGAGGGTTTGGGGGGTTATTCTGGTATAACCAGAGAGGGACCATAAGGGAATATTATTAGTAATTATTCCGACCCCCCATATTAGAGAACTGCAGGTGCGAAACCAGAACCCCTAGGCAGGGCGCACACCGCATGTAGACTCGCAGCAGCCTCTCTAAGCCCCTAAACCCTAAACCCTAAACCCTAAGCCCCCTGCGAAGTTCCCCGCGGAGCGCGGCGAGCTCAGGTGTGGTTGGGAGTGCTAGCGTCCGCCTTGGGTCAAAGCTGCCGGAGTGAAGGTCGAAGGCTGGAAGATAACTTGCTGGTTTAGGGTTTAGGGTTCAGGGTTCAGGGGGAGAAAGGCTAACCATTGGGCGTTGAGGAATACCCAAATGTTTCAAGGATACCTGCTAAGCCCAGCGAGAAGTACTGAAGAATGCAAAGGAGGGCACAGGATCGAGAAATGCTGTGGAAGGAAAGAAGCAGGGAAGAAAATTCGGGTCCGTGTACCTTCTGAAGGTACCCTTGGGCTTTGGAGTGATTCTAATATTTTGTTAGTTGGGGTCTAAGCATACATGGTTTAGGTACATGGATCTTTCGGGAGGCAAGAGCTGTCGACGCTCGACCCGGCTTGCCTTTGGGGTCGCTTGCCTTGTATTTTCCTGCGTGCCGTGTCTTCCTGTCTGCGTCCTTCCCAAAACATCCTAAATCCTCATTCAACCCCAACACCCGATACCTAAACCCGATGCCCTCGCCAGTCCCTATCCTCTCTAAGATCCGTCCGGAACACTAAACCCCCTCAACCCAAGCCCGAAAATGTCTCGTGGGATTTAAGGCTTCAGGTAGTTTAGGGTTTTGGCCTTTAGGTTTTTAGGGTTCAGGGTGCCTCAAGCTGCCCATGTTCCCGACAGGCCTGGACTCAGCTCTCTCGCGCACCGACAGGCGAGTCCAGGGCTCGCGCGAAAGCTGCATAGCCGGAGACCTCTGTTTCCCTAAAGGCTCCTATGTAGTACCTTTTTGGGGTAGTATACTAGAATCCCCTATAACTACACCAAAAAGGAACTACATTAGAGCCTTCAGGTCAACATCGGCGGGGGAGGGGGGGGGGGTCCTCTATGAGCTCATGCCTCATGCACTACGCACTGTTTTTTCAAGTTCTTGACTTTCGGGTATGTGGCTTCTTCCACCATTAAGAAGCTTCATTGAACCACAAAAGTGTACATATATGCATATGCATATATATTTATGTTTATGTTTATATCTATATTTATATTCATATTCATATTCATATATATATATATAATTTAACGACAAAAGCCTACAGGATCCAAGTGATCAAAGGCTTGTTTTCAAGAGCCGCCCGAGACAAAGAAGGCCTCCCGGAGCTCATCGGCCAGCTGGTCGCCAAGCACCTGCCTGACCGTGCGGGGGGGGGGGGAGGGAATCAGAGCTTTAGAGCCTGATTGTTCGGGTTTCTCTTTGTAACAGTCAATAAGAATTATGTAACAGTCATATTATAAGAGTTATGTGACAATCATGTAAGAAGAAAACTATATCCATATCCATATCAAGAATACTTTCTTGCGCAGATCCAGGCGAACCCCCAAACATGCGAGACGTGAGCGGCTTAGCGCAAGCACTGTCGGGTTTATCCGTGTAGGTTGCCTAAGAAAAAGCCTCAGGCCCTAAACCCTAAACCCTAAACCCTAAACCCTAAAGCCCTTCGCGAATGCAGGATGAGCCGCCCGCCTCTGAGCCCCTGTCAACCATGAAGGCCTTAAACCTTACAGCGCGCCTGCAGGCCTTAAGTTTCCCTGAACCCTACCGAAAGGCTCCTATGTACTACCTTTTTTGGGGCAGTAACTGGTAGTATACTAGAATCCCCTTTAACGAGGAACTACATCCTCCAGCCGCCCGAGAAAAACCGTGGACACCCCGGACACCCCCCCCACCTTAAGGAGGGCTTTTAGGGCTTGGGGACTATCTAGAGTCACCTGTACCTTGAAATAATGGGTGTGTCAAACAATACGGTGCACTTCCCCCTCTTCATTCAGGTACACGGGGCCCCTTTTGGGACCAGAGGGCCTGCACTTTGCTGACAGCTCCTGGTGAAATGAGGTGAAGGGCGGATGCTCAGCCTGGCCAGAGGCCCGTACCCCTGACACGAAGGTTTCCGTTTGACTTTGAACTTTCGGGATGCGTGTGATGAAAATTGATGCTTAGAATTGGGCTTTTGAAAGGGGTTCTTCTAGTATAATTATTAAGTATAGGGACCAGAAGGGAATACTATGAGTGATTATTCCGACTGCAGGCATGTGCAGGCATATTGCCCGAAACAATAAATTAACTGAACAGAGAGAATTTTAGACATAACTCCGGTTGGCATAATCATGCTCTGGCCCTCTTTTGCCAAGCGTACAGGCTACACGGTCTGCATGTGACATGTTCCAGATTCTCAGACTCAAGTGCATCTACTTCAGCCTTCCACCGATGTTTGAAATGATGGGCCAGTTTGGGGGTCTCTACTTCAGCCATGCACCCGAGCCAACGCACAAACCTTATGGACCCCATCAACCCTGAAAACATCCCACAGAAACACCTGCAAGCCCTGTGCAACATTTGTGTTTTCCAGAATACCCCCCGAATCGGGGCCCTCATACCTCAATAGTTAGGATCCTAAGGTTTATGTGGTTTTTTTGGGGGCCTAAACCCCTAAACCCTAAACCCCAAACCCCTGAAGCTTGCCAGGCCTGGAGGTGGGGTAGGAGGGCAGCCAAAGGGCCGTCAGAGCTCTGACACCGCGCCGCCACCGTGGCATACCAGTCGGAATACCTCATTGATGGCAGGGGTCATGGGTTGCTGTTCAGGAGTTACTGCAATAAAGAAAGATTATTTATCTATTTATATATATGCATATATAAATACATGTAATTTTATAATCATATATATATATACATACACATTACAGGCGCAGAATTCATGCTCCTCCTTGACAGCACCAGGATCGAGGGTTCTGGTTTAGACATGTAGACGTCGACTCCATTTTGTCAAGTTTGTGACACATGCCACATTTCGGACACCTGGTCCAAGACATCACGAACAGGAACCATAGCAAATTCTCTGGGTGAGACGGAGGATGGCTGGCAATGAAGGTTAACCTTTGGTCATGTAGGGTTTGTGTGTTCTCAGAAGTAGGGCACAAAGACTGCAATAGCTGTGTACACATCAACCCCAGTGAAGATTAAGCTATTACCATCACCATCACCACCACCACCCAACTTCCGCCTTCTCATCCCTGGAGCCTGGCCGGCGTTGACCTCGAGTCCTTCCAAGGTGCGTTTGCCTGCGACAGTCCGGCGCAAGATGATTGACCAGAGTGGTCAGGCGGTAGCTGCCAGTCATGCCTGAGAGGTTTAGGCTTTAGGGAATAGTGTTCTGAGTTTAGGGTTTGGAGCTTAAGGGTTCGGATCTTTTTCCCGACCACAACCGGCAAAACAGGCAACTGCAGACTGCTGTACAGCAAGAACCCTAAACCCTTTTTGACAGCTCATGGCTCATGGGTTCCCCTACTACCCCCCCCCCCCCCCCCTCTATGCTGCCCCCCCAAGCTTTCCCGCTTAAATGACCCCAATTAGGCTTCGTTATCCCCAAATAGCCTGAATTCGTTGGAGAACCTCAACCGTTAACCCTACTTTGGAGTAGACCCTGGGCTAGAATAGGAACCCAGAACCACAAAAAAATCATTAAAGCATAGCACTCCAAAACCCAGTTAAGGAAGCAGTTGTGCAGCTCTACTGCCCATGGGTTGCCCCCAGCCTCCTCTGTACTACCCCCCCCCCCCCCAGGTTAAGTAACCTTAATTAGGCTTAATTATCCTCAAATAGCCTTAATTAGTAGGGGAACCTTACAGAAGCAGTTGCTGAGCCCCCTAAACCCTAAACCCCAAACCCAAAACCCTAAACCCTAAACCCGAAACCCTAAACCCTAAACCCAAGCCAGTGAAGGAAGCAATTGCGGAGCACTATTTGCCCTCAAGAGGCTGTAGGTCTCGGCAGCGCCATGCTGGAAGGCCCGGAGTGCTGCTTGGCAGAACTTGTCCACATTCCTGAGGGTTTAGGGTTTAGGGTTTAGGGTTTAGGGTTTAGGGTTTAGGGTTTAGGGTTTAGGGCTGGGGTTTATTTAGGGTTTAGGGTTTTGGGTGAAGGATAGAGGGGGATCAGAGACCCGGTCCTACTACGACCTCCAAGAACCCTGAGGACCACAAACCCTTTCGCAATTCGTTTCGTCCCCGAGGTTCATGCCATCCATCCAGTCGTCGTCATCCTGCTAGGGATTTACGGGCAAGACGCGACTGCCCAGGAACCTTGTAAGAGCACAAGAGAAGTGCGCTGCTCTGCAATCAAGGTGAACCCTAGCCTAATCCCTAAACCCTAAACACCCTAAAAACCCTATAAACCCTATAAACCCTAAACCCCAATTAAACCCCAAACCCTAAACCCTAAACCCTAAACCCCAAACCCCAAACCCCAAACCCAAGGAAGCCTCGGAGCTCCATGCCAGCCCTTCGGACTTGATCCACTGCGCCAGGCGCACGGAGCCGTCCCCAATGCTGTGGGCTCCACTCTGTGAGTGCCACCTGTACTTGGATGCTGCTTGGGGTTTAGGGTTTAGGGTTTAGGGTTTAGGGTTTAGGGTTTAGGCTTTCGGGTTTAGGGTCGAGTATTTCTGGAACCTAGTCGTTTAGGGTTTAGGGTTTGGGGAAGGAGCTGAAGCTAGGCTACCATAGCAGTAAGGAAACCGTGGCCCTGTTGACCTTCAGTTGCCCAATTATAGTTTAAGTACTCAGATCTACAGTGAGTTCCTTGAGTTGTTTGCTTTTAAGAAATCAGCTCCTGTTTTTGTCATTAGCAGGACTATCATTATTGGTATTGAGTATTATAATGATGGTTTCTGTATCCATATCTTGAACAGCAACCTACTAGAAGGTGTAGGTGTGTGCTTGTTTTTGTGCCGCGTCTCAGCTCGGCTAAGCATCCTACTGCAGTTGTTTGTCTAGCAACCCTAGCAAAAGGGAAGGTTTTGAACTGTCGGAGTGAAGGTCCCAGGCATTCAGGGGTCTAGAGTATGCAGGTTGGGGTTTAGGAACCCTAACCCTAAACCCTAAACCCTAAACCCTAAACCCTAAACCCTAAACCCTAAACCCTAAACCCTAAACCCTAAACCCTATCGTTTTTTTCGCGAAGGATTCACCACTTCAAAACCTGGAAAGGGGCCCCTGCAATCCCCAGCTGCCTGCTGGGGTGCAACATCCTTGCTGCTACTATGACTTTGGCCATTTGCATTCCTCTTATCATTGCTTCTCAGGATCTGATGGTGTCTGATGCTCATGATTAGATATTGGAAGTTCTTGTTGTATTCATGATTTTGCCACCAGGGGGCGCATCCGAGGAGTAAACCCTAAACCCTACACCACGAAAGTCAAAGGGGTTCAGGGTATTGGGACTGGGCAACTGGCAGCCTGAAAAGCAAAGTCAGCCGAGCGACACCACGACCCCAGGGCGCACCACAACCTCAGGTGGCTGGGAGCGGGGCGCTGGGCTTAAATACTGTGAGGGGACATTGAGGGGCGCAGGGGATTTGGACCAAGTTCTGCAGAACTAGACCAACCTTTTTAGGCTTGAGGGTTAGCGCCGGGTGCAACAGCGCATGTCCTCCCAACACCTTTCAACAAACCTTTGAAAACCAGAACGCAAGAAGCCGAAATCCCTAAACCCTAGTTGGAGGTTCATCGGCAGTTACAAGTAAGGTAACCATATTTATAACTGGTTATAAGTCTTGCTTAGGGTACTTATAACCCTACTTATAGCCTTATAGCTACCCATGAACCTCTACGTAAACCCTCAGCAAACCCTAAACCCAAAACCCAAAACCCTAAGCCAGCTTGAGCCAGGATGCAGCCCATGGGCACAGCCTGACCAAGATCATCTCCCCAGCCAGCTTGGACACCATGTAGGGATTCACGCATTCCTGGCTGCGTTATCTTCTCGAAACAAAAGGAACTTGCAAGGTAAACAACAAAAACACATGTAAATATGTATACATACATATATATATATATATAGACTTATATTTATGTTTATATTTCTGTTTATATTAATATTTAGATTTATATTTGTATATATGTTTATGTATATTGTTATTCTCTTGTAGATGTAAAGTACTTATGCAATTGTATACCTCGCAGGGGCACCTAGTCAAAAGAACACAGAGCCTTCCGCCAAGTGCCGTCTGGACAAGAATTCCGGACCTTAAAACCACCGGCAAGAAGAAACATGCAAACTTTTAGGAATGCTTTTTTGGCACAAGAAGAGGACACGCTAAGCACTTCAAGCCTATTCTGTGGACCTGTAAAGCCCTAAACCCCAAACCCTAAACCCGAAATAGCCCTCAACCCTAACCTGTTGGCTTTCTAACGGAGTGCGGCCGCCTCGAGCCACGCTGCCTCCGCGGGGGCCTCATCAAACCCAGCGCCGCTCCCGATCAGCAGCCTGGGCTGGCACAGCCCGGGGATTTAGGGTTTAGGGTTCAGGGTTTAGGGTTCAGGATTCAGGTTTGGGGTTCAGGGTTTGGGGCAATTTCTGTACATAGCCTTTGGGTACCCAATGGTGTACTAGCACGACAGGGACCCTGCAAAAAAGCCTAAAACCTTGAACCCGAATGGTAGCAACAACAAATCGAGAATGGCTATGTCTCAAACGAGTAGTACCTAAAAAAATAGTCCTCTGACATCCCAAAACCCAAAACCCTAAACCCCTAAGACTACAAAAAACACAAATCTTAAGCCCAAAAGTGAAAGAATATCCCAAGCCCCTACCCAGCGGCAAGGCGCGGCGGCGGCCTCTGTTTAGGATTCATGCGTTTTTAGGGCTTTTGGGGTTCAGGGGTTTAGCTTTGGGATGTTCCCCCCTATACTAACAGTCCTTAATAAGGATTATCATAGGGGTACTGGAACCCCTGTTATAAGGACTGTTAGTCTAAGGGGGAGGGGTTTCGGCTTTTATGCAGGAGGGTTAGTATAGGGCTTGGAGTTTCGGGTTTGGGGGGTCGATTTGTTTAGGACTGTAGGGCTTAAGCTGCTAGCAGGGCTGGGGTTTAGGGTAGGGAAGCGCGTGTTTTCTAAACTCGGTTTGGCGGCTTGGGCTTTGGGTATTCATGGTTCACCACGCTCAGTTGCAAAGGGACAAGGGTTGCTTATCCGCAGCCAGGTGTGAAAAACCAACAGAACAGCTGGGGAAAGGTTCAAACACAAACTGTGAGATTTTACTCACCCTAAACCCTAAACCCTAAACCCTAAACCCGAGTGAGATCCCAGGTCCGAGTTCACGCCATGTCGAGGGCACTTTGTTGGCGTTTCAGGAGAATGTCCGGATTGGGGGATAGAATACGGTTCTGGCAACCAGACAAACTTGGCTGCACTCAGGAGGGTAGCTAAAAATCAAACTTTTAGCTGCCTTATTAAGAAACCCAATTAACCCAAAAAGGGTAAGAATCTAAAGCTACAGTAAAATACCACAAAGCAAAGAGCTTTACAGAGTGTTGTAGAGATTCGAGACCGAGGTTACACAAGACTCCTACCTCCAGACAGCGAAAGACTTCACTGGGGAGGCCGGGGGCCGAAGACCTTGCAGAACATTTAGAATATCTCTTCTACGTATCAGCCAAGAATCCATCTACCTCGCCGCAGCAGAAGGACCCGACTTGGCGTGCACCGAGGACATTGGCTGAACGCAGGTCTCCATAGCTGAGGGTCCAATTCCTCAGACTGGTTCATAACAATTGATTTCATTTCTCGAAAGTTGCTTGCTGGAGCTTCTTGAAGGCGCAGCCATTCGCAAAGGCACAGAGAAGCATGTATGAGGGTAATCCGCCACACGGGGATAGACAGATGATCCGACATGACGTTTGTGGACGCAGAACACTAATCAGTGTAAAAAAGACAAGTATGTATATTGTCGACCAGTGAGATACCTGACGAATCCATGTATTCTGGCCGCTGCATGCCCCTCTTCGAATAGCTAGCAAACCCTCAGGGTCTACATATGCACCTTAACAGAAATACAAGGGCACCTTGTTAAGGCACATGGGCCCTCAGGCAAGAACATGGGCAAGGTTTCTTCACTTGACTGCCTACTCAAAGGAAGCCTCATGCCTACCATGCAGGAATACTACATGCACATAGCGTACATGGTCACGATGCTGTTGTTAACGTTGACGTCGATGCAGTAGAGCATGTTACCAATGTGACCGGCACACTACAGTAAACAACGCAACATCACACAAAGACATGCAGGAGCAAGCGCCAGGAGCACAACACTTGGGCGTAAACACTTATGCATTGGGTGGCTGGGTGGGTGGGTGGAGGCGAGCGAGCCAGCGCGAGAGCGAGGGTGAGAGCAAGAGAAAGACAACGAGATGAACAGGTTTAGGGTTTAGGGTTTAGGGTTTAGGGTTTAGGGTTTAGGGCTTAGGGTTTAGGGTTTAGGGCTTAGGGCTTACGGTTTAGGGTCTTCCCGTGCAAGGATCACAATGGCCGCGCAGTGGATGACCGCATCGCAGTCCCTGGCCATGGAAGCAAAGGTTTCCGCATCCATACCTCGCAAAGGCAGCAATCTCGGGGTGTTATGAAGGGAACTGGCACCTCGCTCCGCGAATGCATGAGGGTTATGGATTGATTGGGCTTTTGCTTGTTTATGGTCTAGGGCTTCATGGACTTTGTGGCTCTTTTTGGGATAATTACGGCTTGCGCTCGAGACTGCGGTCAACGTTCGTTTCAAAGCAAACCTCGTTAGGGTATCGGGTGATTCAAGTGTGTACTGTACACATCTAAAGATTAAAAAAAGCGAAGGAGAAAGGGAAAGAGGGAGAGAGAAAGAGAGAAAGAGAGAAAGAGAGAAAGAGAGAAAGAGAGAAAGAGAAAGAGAGAAAGAGAGAAGGAGAGAAAGAGAGAACGAGAGAACGAGAGAAAGAGAGAAAGAGAGAAAGAGAGAAAGAGAGAAAGAGAGCAAGAGAGAGAGGGAGAGTGGCAGAGAAGGCCTGCGCAAGCACAAGCTGCGAACCCAAACACGGCAACTAAACCTGGCTCGCGGCGTCACCTAGATCCTTCCGGAGCCTTGCACGCTGATCAAAAGCCCTTGGCGCCCCACACTGTGGAAAAAAAAAACGGGTGCCTGCATCCCACCACCCCTGCTTTCAACTTAAAGCTGAGCCCTGAAAATCACATTGCTCCTAGCTGCCGAACATGGGCTGAGAAACGTCGTGGCCTGCGCGCAGCGTGAAAACTAAAGGAATAGACAGGGGCCTTCAAGGGGCCGCTCTGTTCAAACATAGAGCCTCTTGGCAAGCTGCCTGTACAAAAACCTGTAAACCCTAAACCCTGAACCCTGAACCCTAAACCCTAAAGCCTGAACCCCAAACCCTTGCGATCTGACCTCCATGCACCGTGAACCCTAAATCTTATAACTTGAGATCTAACATCCCTTAATAGTCACTATAGTACCCCTCCCCCCCGCCAACTATAGTCCCTAGTAAGGACGGTTAGTACAAGGGGGGGACCTCCCACCTTATACCTCCTAAGCTCCAAACCCTAAACCCTAAACCCTAAACCCTAAACCCTAAACCCTAAACCCTAAACCCTAAACCCTAAACCCTAAACCCTAAACCCTAAACCCTAAACCCAGAGGAGTTCAGAACCTGCGGACAGGGGGATGCATGGCCTGGGGAGTCCCAAGGGGGCTCGGAAACATCAGCATCCTGCGCATGATACATGCCGTTCAGGTGCTAGATGTAAGGGAGAGTGTTTGCTTCAAGTGCGTCATGAGTTGTGTGGCTGTGAGAAAGAACAGTGGCCGACATGCAGAGATGCAGCGAGAGAGAGAGAGAGAGAGAGCGAGAGTTCAAATCTTGCCATGGAATGTGTGAATTGCCCACAAGGCGCATATTACTCGAACTCCTTGAAAGATTACTAGCAGACAGAAAAAGTAGAATAACCAAGAGATCAGCATGAAGAACACAGAAGCATTTCAAGACCATGAAAGACAGCAAGACTCTCTCAGGTTACAAAGAACCGAAACCGTGAAGTCATGGAACCCTAACCTTTGAACACGCGCTCGACCTACCTGCAACCCTCAACCAACCATCAACCGCGAAAGGATTACTGCTTCTTCGTAGGGAATGAGGGAATGAGGTACCCCGATATTAACCCTTCAAAGGCATTTGTAGGGGGATATGAGGTGCCTGATTCCCCTCATTCCCTACTATGTCCCCTACATATATATATATACACTAAAACATGTCCCCTACATATATATATATATACCCTTTAAAGGATGTCCTCCTGTATATAGATATATACACACACACCCTTTAAAGGAGTACTATAGGGTACCTCTTTCCCCTCATGCCCTACGAAGAACCAGTCGGCTAGTTCCCAGCCTAACGTGCGCGCCAGAGAGATGGTGGGGATCCCCTGAGCGCGGAGGAGCTCAAGGAAGTGCCTGCCGATGTGTCCTCCCAAAGCACGCGACTGGGACTTGGGGTTGATTAGGGTTTAGGGTTTAGGGTCTAGAGGTCTAGAGGTCTAGAGGTCTAGAGGTCTAGAGGTCTAGAGGTCTCCGGAACTCTGCACAAAGCAGTGGGGATCTTGTTTGGGGTAGGTTGCGGGGCTTGCCAGAGTATGATTGAAGCAATGTCTGCCGCAGCAAATTTGGTTAAACAATAAAAGGATGGGGCAATAGAGCCTTCAGGTAGAGTTCTGGGCCTAAGCGCGGCAGGATTACTGGCTCGCCCTACGGTTGCGCCGAAGCGCCGGCTCCCTGATCCAACCGAACCACCTCTCCGAAACGCCACCCTAAAGCGCAAACCCCAAGTGCACTATCATGTAGTATGATGTGTATATATTGTGTACATATATGAATGTATTGAAAACATTATATAACACCATGTTATATAAC